CCATGCAGTATTTTTCTGTTTGTGACTGAGATACTTCGCTCAGCATAATGTCCTCCAGGATCACACATTTTTAATAATATTGCAAGAGTTCCTTGTTTTTCAATGCAGCATAGTATTCCATTGTGTGAATATACCACCGCTTCTCTATCCATTCATTTGTTGATGAGAACTTAGGTTGTTTCCAACTCCTTGCTATTGTGAACAAAGCCACAATAAACATGGGTGTGCATATATCTGCTTGGATGTCAGTTATGGTCTCTTAGGGGTATATTCCCAGTAGTGAAATTGCTGGGTCAAATGGTATCTCTATTTGCAACTTTTTGAGAAAGTGCCATACCACCTTCCACAGTAGTTGCACCATTTTACATTCCCACCAACAGTGAATCAGGGTTCCAGTTTCTCCACAACCTCGCCAGCATTTGTTGCTTGCTGTTCTGTTAAAACATTTTGTAATTCTGACTGGGGTGAGATGATATCTCATAGCCATTTTAAACTTTTTAAGTCCTTCCTTTTTTAGATTTTCATTTTCAGGCTTCCAAAAGACTCTTTCTTTATTGTGTCTTTCCTTAACTACATTAATCTGGAGTAATTTTAAGCTACTTTCTCCCAACTCTCTAAGATTCAGCATTCCAGTCACCACTGCATTTTATAATCCTTCTTTTGTTTAAGAGGAGAGATTGTAAGTTGATTATTACTTGTGGTTTGGAACATCCACTCTTTACATGGGTAGGACTTCACGAACTGCCTTTGATGATTTCAAATGTTAATTTGTTTATTAACATCTAAGTTGAAGTTTGTAGATTATTTTTTTTTAGAAAATTCTTTTCGACTTCTGCTGTAGGGTAAACTATAGGTGTTTTTATTTGCTTTTCATGAAGTCATTTTGGAGGATATGTAAGGGGATCCTCATTTAGGTGACCACTGGTAGCTTATGTGAGGTAGGCCAGTTCTACTCTAGTCACAACTAAATATTTTACTACCTCTTCTGCAGAACTCCCAAGTTAAATACTGGGCTCAATATGTAAATACTCACAAAATAATCTTTGGTTTTATGTATAAAAAATACTTAATAACTTAGTGAGATAGATAGCTATTTCCCCACTTTACAGATGAAGATGTGAGGCTAAAAGGTTAACTCCAACTCACTAATAATTCATGTACAGTATCCGAAATCTAAGTCTTTTGTCTTCGTCAGAACGACCATATCCTCATTTCACTTGATTCAAATTCACTGAAAATGTCTACAGACTTAGTATGCACCAACTTTTCTACCAGACATTGGTTAATATCCATCGTTGGGGTAAGGTATGATTGAGCCAACTTCATTTTGTGGTGACTTAATGAATAGCAGATTGAAGCCCTCCCTGACCCCCCCATCCTCACCATCTTCACATGCTCAAGCATTGTTGTAGCCACTGTGCCAATGAGCAAAAATGCCCCTGAACTCACAGAACTTCCAGTTTAGCATCAGTATAGTTATACAAGTGTTCAAGTCTTTCGTTATAGGGTTGTTGAGCCATCCGTGACTCAACGACACTTAACCAGCAGCAACAATTCTACTCCACTCCCCAGCCATCTCTTCTTGTCTTAACGTGGCTTTGTAAAAATAATACTAATCAAAGTCATTTATAAGACTTAATTATATGTATCATTTAACATAATTTGTATTTAATAGTGCCCAAATAATGAATTTTTGTTATTTACTCTGACAAATAGTTTCTTATACTACAGTTTGCTACTTTATTGCTTTTGTATACAACAACTTTAGTTATTTACTTCTAACTTAAAAAAAGCTTATAACTAAAATGGTAATATAGTCAGCTATATTAATTGTAACTTTAGTGAGTCGTCTGTAGGTAGCTGTGCTGCTGACCAAAGGCAGGGCCTCCCTGTCTCTTTGAATCCAGCAGCAGCTCGGGAAGATAAAGGACAGTCTTCTCCCATGCTGTTAACAGAGTCTGAAAAACCACTGGTGGGTCAGCTGTGAGTTGGTTCTAATTCTCTGGCAATGAATTTTAGTGTGGCTAGCATTAAGAAGAATAGGAATATCAGAACACTTAATTGTACTCATACAAAATCAATATCTAGACCAAGAAGCTGTTGTCTAAACAGGGCAAAGAAACACTGCATGGTCTAAAAATCAGGCAGGGTGTGCATCAGGGTTGTATCTTTTCTCCATACCTATTCAATCTATATGCTGTGCAAATCATGAAGTCAGACTCTATGAAGAAGAATGTGGCATCAGGATTGGAGGAAGACTTAACCTGTGTTAGGCAGATGACACAGCTTTGCTTGCTGAAAATGAAAAAGCTATGAAATACTTGCAGCCTTGGGTTTGGATTACTTCTCAACATCAAGGGAAAAAAGGTCCTTACTACAAGACGAACAGTTAACATGGTAGATGGAGAAAGGATTGAAGCTGTCAGTTATTTAATCTTGCTTAGTTGAGCAATCGACATGCTTAGTACAGCAGTCAGGAAATCAGGTGACCTATTGCATTGGGCAAGGCTGCTTTCAGAGACCTCTCCAAAATGCTGAAGAGCGATGATGTCAATTTGAAGACTTAGGCATTCCTGAGTCAAAGCATGGTTTTTTTGGTCATCTGATATGCATGAGAGATTTGCGCAATGAGTAAAGATGACAGAGGAAGAATTGATGCTTGAGGATTATAGAGTTGGAGCAGAGTACTGAACATCCCATGGAGTGGAAAAAAAAATCTTGGAGAAAGTGCAACCAGTGTTCCTTGGAGGCAAAGTTGTCAAAGCTTCATCTTTCATATATTACATATGTAGCTAGGTGAACTTTTCCTTGGAAAGGGACTTCATACTTGGAACGATGAAGGGCCAGTGAAGGAGAGAAAGATCCCCAACAGTAGGGATTGACATGGTGCCTTCATCAATGAGCTCTAGGATGGCATAGGATAGAGCTGGGTTCAGCTTGGCTGTGCATAGGTCATTATGAGTTGTACTTGATAGCACCTAATGATAGATAACCTTTAAACAAACAACTGAAAAAAAAATAAAAGAGAAAACAAATTGAAGATTAAATTGGTATGTTCTTGGTATTTCCATAATAAAACAGCCTCATTTATGAGACTGGTTTTCAATCTTTACAGTCTACTCAAAAGAATTTATATATGTGAAGTAAAAAGCTCATTTAGCCAATTTAAGATATTTATAAAGCTCTTAATTTTGCATCTCTTAATTTTAGGATGGTTTAAAGTTTCATAGGAAACATTTTGAGTGTTTTAATTTTCACTTACTTGATAAGATGTGAAGGATTTTAAGACCTATTATCTATAATAGAATACTCTGAAATTATTTTACTATTTCATTAAGAATATAAATGTAAAATATTTTCATCTCAGTGCTGTTTCTCATTGTCTAGTGAAAGAAATACAGTTTTGGAATTCTCTTAAGAAATGGTATAAATTAGGATACCCTATTTACTCAATTGATTGTAAAATAATTTTCAAGCAGCACAGTGGCTAATTGGCACCCTCTTTTGGTCATTTTATCTACCTACAGGCAGAAATGTCTTAAAAGTAATTAAAAAAGGGAAAAATGCCTTTTATATGCATATCCTTTTAAATTTCACTTTTGCTAGTCTTACCTTCGTAACTCTAAATAGTGTTCATAACAATAATATACAGTATTACTTAGCTGGTGTGTTTGTATAATTTTGTGTTTACTTGCTTTTTTCTCAGCTTGGCTTTCTAATTGTAGCATTTAGAATTAGCATTAACATTGCAGATTTTCAAACAAGCATTTATTTAACTGTAGCAAGTATTAGCTACAGTAGCACATTATTAAGCAGATAATGTTTACCAATTTTATTGTCAATTTGGAGTAATTAGAAAACATCACATTTTACACTAAAATTAATAGTTTGGAGAGATATTTGAGTTGAAAATATGCTTCAAAAAATTAAAACGTAATTACTTCCATATTTTTAAATCTTTTTTTAAAAGATAGCCTTAATATTTGCATATGATGCATTTTCTAACTTACCCTGGAAACTCTTGCACACACATAGTATGAATTTTGTTAAGTTTAGAACTGCTTCAATAGAATTTTCAAGGCTGTGACCTTTCAGAAGTAGAGCTGTCTTCTGAAGCATGTCTGGGTAGGTTCAAACCAACAATGTTTCAGCTAGTATTTGATCACTTAACCATCTGTACCACCCAAAGTCCCTTTATAATAAAATATATATGTATGTATCTCACTTTCTCACATTACCGTCATTGAGTTGGAACTGACTCATAGCTGACCCTCCAGGGGGATTTCAGAGGCTGTAAATTTCATGGGAGGAGATTGCTCATAGCTCATCGTTCTGCTACAGAGCCACTGGCGGATTAGAAACCCTTGTCTTTAGATTGGCAGCACAGGACTTTATCCATTAGGCCACCAGAGTTCCCCTCGAAAAAAAAAAGCAGGTATTTTATGGTAATGTGTCAAAAATCTGTGAAAATAAGTTATTCTTGAGGACTCATGGTCAGCAGGCTACATTATTGGGTAGTTCATGAGTGTTTTCAGGCTTCTCCTGTAAAGATTTACAGCCTCACCAGCCCTACAGAGGGTCACCAGGAGTGGGAATCTACTCAGTGGCAATACATTTGGTCTGGGTTCTATCTCGTCAGCTGGGGATATAATTTATGAAGTGGTGATTGAAGGTACTTTATTTAGTAGACTCTAGACAGATACTGTACTTCTTTTTTATGAATGTATATAACCACAAAGGACTGTCATTATAGATTGATCCAGGTTTCAGCTACAGAGTAATACAGTTTATATTAAAAATAGCAGAGAACAGCTTTAGGTATTACTATTAAAGCAGCCAGCTATTGCCTAAACATTTTAATGTTTGAGTCAAATAATTTACATTGACTGGAAGTTATTTATAGATATACTTCTGATTTTAAATTAGATTAATTTGTGAAAATATCTTAAAACATTTATTGGAAAAAACATTTTTTTTCATAAGTCTCTTTCTTTTGACAGCGATAAGAATTTTGAAAGTAAAGAACGGACTGCTTGTAAAGGAAAGATTGCAATATCAGGTATGTTACAGAAGAATTATTTTTACCTTGCTTAATTGTATAAAGTGACTTCCTCAAGGTATTTTTTAAGCTCCTTCCCATTTCATTTTGTCTATCTCTGTGAGGATATTTGTTCTAAAATACTGATTTCCATAGTGTAGAATTATACACTGAGGGGAAAAACATTGATGTGCATGACACAGATTCGTCCTTAGTTCACTCCTGTGAAATAAGTAGGCCAGTTCTCATTTTCTACACATTGGGAGATGAAGCTGCTCGCTGTAACAGTTGAGCAGGGTAGCAAACCCAAGTCTTTTGACCTTCCAATCTTTTTATGTTCATCAATATTTTTTCCTGTTTCTTTAGGCCAAAGTTCATGAGAGTTGTAGTCATGTTTTGTTCATCACTTATGTACAAAGAAGCCTACATAATGCTTAACACATAGTAATTCTTTAATGAATATTTATTAGATAGAGATGACTGCTCTTCCTTAATACCGGGATAAAGACCAAACATTTTTCCTCAGTTTTCTGCCTGACTCAACTATTTTCTACTCTATACCTGACTACTTTAACTATTTTAACATTTCTTTCCTAGTCCTGTGAAGATATCACATGATTTTAGATCCAGTTTGCTTTTTAAAGAACTGTATTTCATTCAGGATCTACTTGATGACCCATAAAGCTTTCCTATTATTTCTTCTTGGAATGCTCTCCTTCTCTGACTTCCTCATGCAGTTAGGAGACTCTTTGCCACTAGATGGCACTTGTGCTGTGTAGTCTCAGTTGCTCCAATGTGGTAAGGATGCTAAAGACAAAGTGGCTTGAATTTGTCACAGATTGAAGTGAACACATGGCTTACTTGTGTGTCTGATCGTTAGATAATTCACTTTCTACAACATACTGTCAGTATATGTTCGAAACAACAGTATGTACCTTCACCGATTCTTAAATACTAACTAGGTTATTTCATTGGCCAGAAGCCTTGTTCTCTTGGTATTGGGGAGCCTGCCGCTGTGTTTCAGATCCTCTCACTCAAGAAACTATTTTTAGAAATGTTTTTTTTTATGGCAAAACAAAAATTTCCATTCAAGACCAGATCTGAAACTTATATAGTATGTAATTGACCCAACTCAGAGTAATTGCCCTCAGCTAAGCAAAAAATCTTTATAAAAATAACTGAACTATATCAAAATGTGTTGCTTGTGTCATAGTTATTTATATGCATGTGTTCATCTTTCTAGTTACAATACTGAAATAAAAGATGTTTTCTTCCTTGTTTGCTTTGATACTCAGCATAGTTCATACTTGCATGCTAGGTGTTCTTTATGTTCAATACTTTTTTAACATGAATAAATATTTTAAAAATCTTATGAAGATTTCTAAAAATATTTAAACAAAATCCTCCATTTCTTGCTTCTGATATGGTAGCATAGAGTACAAAAATATGTTATTGAAGGCTCAAATAATGTGAGAACACTAATGTCTGTTGTCATTTCATAGTAAAGACTTTTATTGATTGACCCAATTCATGATCTTGGGATTAATTATACATCTATAAGGGAGCCTAGGTGAAAGCTTTTGAAAATAAAATTCGGTTTCTCACTTTAAATAAAATTATTTTCATGACCAAAAGTATACTCAGATGTGAATTCTTACATGTGTTTCTTCTTTCTAAAAGATAATTTTAAATTAAGCAGAAGTTCTGAAAGTAGGAGATAGCTAATTCATTTTCATTTTATCTTAATTATAGTTTGGAAATGCATTGATTTTTTTTTTAAAGGATAAAAATCAGAATTCATCCATTGGAAATATTCAGTCACTTCTCTTTTAAGTTCTGTGTCAGAATTTTCCATGAGCCCTTCTCCTTTCAGGGTATCGGTTGCTCTTGTGT